CTGATGAACTTTCTTAGCTTTTCCATTAAAAGTATTTCTCTATGAATAATTAAAGTCCGAAACTTACCTCTCCATAATATTAGTGCTCTATACTAAAGCACGCATAGGAATTATAAACAAAAAGAAATCTCACACACCAATCCGTAACGGCATCACACCGAAGCTCCGCGATGTTCAGTGTTGAGCAATCATAATGAATATTTTATTTTATCATAGCGCGCGTCTCCCCCACCACCCCGCACCGCCCGCCCGCCCTGACCCTGACACCAAAGAAAAATTAGTTCACAAGGCGAAAGTGAACTTTGTAGAGTCTGCACTTCCCAACAGTACCTACGCTTTGATAAAAAGAACTTTTCGCCGCCTCAACCGATACTTGGAGTCTTTACGTTTCAAACATTATAAACATTTGGAAGTGATAATCGATATCGATTTTCTTTATAAGAAATGGATACAAATGTTATACAATGACATACAGAAACTATGATTAAAAAAAAAATTGTGTAGTTTGTGACTATTTATTGTACTTAAATCTTATGATATTATAATAAGACTACCTGACATAGTATGAAAAATAAAAAATACTTATTATTCACGAATTCTTACAAGAGATAATTATTTATTAAATGGGATTTCTAAAATTCGTTAAAGGTAACTTTTCTTTCACGTCGATATAAAAAAATGTCATAATGGAAAAGTCTCTTTTGATAATTAATTAATCTTCCCAACGCTGAAAATTTCTTTAATAGCTCCTGTTTTTCATATAACATATATTCATTACCAATTCAAACAGCCGATAAACGCAAAAATTAGCAAAATGAGGCTTATTACACTGGCATAAATAATATTTAAACAGCTCAAAAAGCAGGCAAGTGAGCCCTCGAGTATTAACATACTCGAGTCAAAGCAAAACTAACTGCATGTACTTAAAAAAAATCTAACGAATTCCATGTATTCAACCAGTGTATAAAGCTAATTAAAAAAGTACAGAGGTTGGTTACAAAAGTGGCGCGGTTCCGCTACCCGCCGCCAGGTGGCTCTTTTCGCTTTGAGCGTACCGTTTTTGTGGGCTCGAGGCGTGTTTGTTGGGCTTCACTTTTTTAATGAGCCCGTGTGTTCGGCGCTGAAGTGATTCTGAAACATTGGGGTTAACCAAGTTTTTCGATTTTTCCAGGAATTATGAATTCAATACAAAACATTATTTGATTGGTACAAACCTAACTCAAATTGTTTAAAAATTTATTCGTTTCTGTTTTTAATTTTATCATAAAACTTATTATTTAAAGAGACTTTTACATATATAATTAAATTAATAATAAACATAACTCTGCAGCTATATTCCTCTATAGCCTTTAAACAGTGATGAATAAATTAGCACAAGCTTCATTCATGTACAATTGTACACTGACGACATCTGGTGGGTGGTTGCGTGCCTTGTCAAACGTTGTGACCAAATATTGTTATTTCTAAACGGACTTCTGAATGCTATACCAAATATAGCTGCAGAGGGTTCTCTGCCTTTTCGGCGAAAATCGTCTGGCAGATCATCATTTGCCAATCAACGTTTCGCAGAATTTTATTTCGCCGAATAATCATTTGCCAACTATATCACTTAGTTTTGTTTTATTTCCCAACTTAACTATCGCCAACTGTACGTTTGGTCTGGCTTTTATAATGACACTTTTCACAAGGCCAACTTTCAAGTAGCGAACGTTTCAGATAGAGTAATATTCATTTTTCTATTATAATTTTCTAAATCTAAATATTTATAATTATTTTTCTAATGTTGCTATATTTAAGTGCCCTGTGTAGTAAAGCGATTCGGTTCTGGCACTTCGCCGGCTGCTGCCGCAGCACGCTCGCTTCGCTCGCTCGGCTCGTGCGTTGTTGGTCGCAGTTCTAACCTAACCTAACCGATTTCTTTCGATTTCACCTCAACTACGTTCCGCACTTTGAAATTTTGCAAATGGTATATAAATTTTTGTTGTTATATGTACTTATTACAAGTTTTTATTTATTTCAGGCAAGTTCAAGACCAGGGTTTCGCCAAAAGATATGCAAGCGACATTCAGTTTAATAAAGAGGTGAAGTGTTTGTTAGCACTCAGTTTTCTTGAGGAATCTGAAATATACGTATATTTCGAAAGTATCTTAAAAAGTTTGAAAGATCCAGATTGGCAACAATTAGCGCATTGGTTCGAAAACAATTATGTACACGGAACATCAACCACACAACCTAAATATCAGCCTAGATTTTGGAGCTGCTATGAAACAAACAAGATGAATATACCACGAACACAGAACTCGGCCGAAGCCTGGCATAACAAAATAAACAATATTATTGATAAAAATCACCCAGGTGTTTATGAATTGATAAAACAATTAATAAAGGAAACCGTTGCCAACGAGGGGGAAATAGAAAATATATTAACAGGTGCCCCACCAGAACCCAAGAAAAAAAAATACTTAGACAAAGACGAAAGAATCAACAGAATTCTTGAACACAAATCTTCATATTCACATGAAAAATTATTAATGTGCATTGCTGCTAATTTGAAGTGTTAATTTTTTTTGTAATTCTTTAATAAAAATTGCATATCGAAATTAGTTTATTTTATATCATAATATAAATGTACGAAAAGGGTACTGTTATACAGACGAAACGTTATTCGTCTAAAAGTTGTCTGGCCTAGTGAAGGATTTGATAAATGATAAGTGCCCGGAACGTGTTCTGTCATTACAATAATGAGCTTAACAATAATTCTACCAAATGAAACGTTGTCATACAAAAATTTGACAATCATTAGTTGTCAAAGTGAAAATCAGGCGAACCGTTGGTTGGCAAGTGATAATCCGCTAAACAATTTTCGGCGAGAAGGCAGGACACCCTATAGGACTCTATCGCAGCTCGCAGTAATAGTCTTTGTAAAACAGTAAACGCCAAAGAAATTAGATAATAGATTAAGACAATAGAAAATATCATGAAAATAGATGCTATGGTAGCTTTTATATAAGGTTTTAAGTTATAATTAGCACCGTACCTACTTAATTAAATTATAATCAAAATAATTGATTACATGCGATTAATTATTTATTTACTTTATAGCGCGCATTCAAATAAAACTTTTTTCTCAGTGAACTCTTTCATGATATGCATATTTTGTATGCGATGGTTAAAGATAACTATTCCTTTTATTTGGATGGTCAGCCATATTGAATTTAAAAATAAGTAATTATATTTTTTTCCTATTTTTCTTAGTAAACCCTTTCATTAGATAACCATATTATAACGATGATGGTGCTTACTCAAAAAATGGGCTGCCATTTTAGATTTATAAAATGACGTGACTCATTTAACCACACATTGTCATCTAAATTCATTTTGTGGACATAAATTCAGTTTGATCAATTGTGGTTGACTGTTGTAAAATTCAGTTGCAAGATTTGTTTATTCATCTTTGTCACAATATTGCGAGTTAAATAATATCTCATAAAAATGTATAAGGAGCTCGATGACGCTGTGTCTGGACGCTCGGTCTGCGATACGGAAGGGTTTCGGGATGTGTGACAAAAAAAATATATATTTCGGGCTACTTCGTGCTTCAAATGGCACGTTAAGCCGTTGGTCCCGGCTGCGTTTGCAGTCGTTAATACACTCCAATCCGCATTGGGTCAGGGTGGAGGGTCATTTCCCATCCTCCTTAACCATCCACTAGGAAGATCTCCTGCAGTGGGGACGTTGAAGGGCTAGGACGTTGAAATTCTGAAAATAATTTTATATGCGTTTTCCGTTATTTGAAGAGACATGTTCAATCAACATAGCTTCTATTACGCGCTCCCATATGAGGCTATTTTATAGCTCAAGTAAAGTATGTGAGCTAGAATACTATTAGTCTAAAAAGTTAGAACATTAACATTTAAAAAACGGTCAGTTGGACAAACGTCGAGTTAGGTTTAATGACGCCTTTAAGCTCTAATGAATGTCAAATTATTATCGGTAATGTCGCTTTAAAAAAAATGACGATTTTAATGGAGATAAGTGCAACTAGCTGTATGACTTACGTTTATTTATGTATACATTGATTTCAGAAGAGATTTTCTATTAAAAGCTACTTTCCAATAAGATTAAGTTACGATATTACAGCACCATCTATTTGCGAGTAGCGAGTTCAATAATTCACTACTAGATGGCGTAGTGAGTGATTCTAAATTTCTTGTTCAAAGAAAATTTTACTTATTTATTTAGAGCATAATAGATAGTTCACGTTTATTAATGGATAATAACGACGTAACATCTTTGTTTATATTATTATTGTTCGTGCCTGTTACTTATTTCTGAAAGTAAACATACTGTGATATAAACAAGATTTAGTTAGTGTCAGAGTAAATTCACGCACAAATTGCGATTTTAGTATTATATATTACTCCCGCAGAACCTCGTACTAGGTTAACCTTTGCCAAAGTTTCTGTTTATTAATATTAATTTTAACTAATACTGAGTGCAAACTCAGCGTAAATTTACTCAAACACTAAACCATGTTTATTAAAAACACAGTTAGAACAGAACAAATTTTATCATGGGTCATGTATTGCAAATCCCGTTACCATATCATTTTATTGAAATAAAGTGCTTCTAACTTTTATGTCATTTCAATACAGCGATCAAAAAAGATAGTTTTACTTACTTTACTAACTAAAAAAACAAAAAGCGTATTTTTAGATTTAAGTACAATTATCTCGATTTTTAGGTCTATGCACTAAACTATGCTCTATTATAAAGATGACATTCAACACCATGAAGTTCTTAAACGGATCAACAGAGAGAAAACAAAAAAGAAATTCCAAACACGAAAAAATGAAAACTGCCGTCAGTTGCAAAATTCAAGATCACCCATAAAAAGGTCAATGTAACAACATTTTTTTATTATAAATTCGGTGTTTAAAATGAAAAATCCAGTGTGGCGCATGTAGTATTGTTTAGTTAAGTAACCGAAGAGTTGTGAGATGATACGGTGGCGGTATTGCTTGGTTCTTGCCATGCTGCTGCTTCTGCCCACAAGGAATGGCTCAAAAATAGATGATGACGACGATGAAGAGTAAGTAGATATTGATATAATATAAGAACTTGAACATTATACTGATATGAGAGTAGACGAAAATGTATTGGCTATTGTTGTCATCAAAGAACAATCCAAAACATGCAGATTGCCAGTGTTTATCAGTGAATCGCTCAAAGATTGGTTTGAATAGTTATAGTCCGTTTTAGTCTTTCTTTTAACTACGTTTAATAATTACGTTAATGAGAAACTTTGGAGAGAATTTAGTGAAAATGTTTTTTCTTGATGTAGCGGAAATCCAAAACGATTGCAGCGCTCTCGAATCATGATAAACAGGTACGTACCTTCGATATATCTCTTTTTTTTTACAAAATATTTATAATAGTTTATATAATAAGTTATATTACTAAAAAGTAAAGTATCCTTAAAGAGTTTTCGACTTGAAAGAATTGTAAACTCACTTAATTTATTTTACATAATTTAATATCCAATTAAGAGATTTACGAAATGTTCACCAAACCAATTAGTTTTAGGTGTTTGAATGTTTTTATTATAGATATACAATAGTAATAATTATTATTTTCTTAGAGTACATTTGCAATTATTTATTTACCGGTACCGATACTATGTCTGACTTGATCTCCCAATTTTTATTAACACATTCATATGTCTAGATATCTTAATCATCAAAATTTGCTCGCTCTTTTCTAATCCTTTTATTACCGATTAGCGTTGTAGCACTCCTATTTTTGTACAACATTTCATTTACAACATTGAACCGTCGTCTCAATTTTCCTTCCTTCGCATGCTCTATACATGTTTTTGTTAATCATTTCATGGATATAGCAAACGATGATTGTTTCAGTCGGAATGATGAAAATGAGGAAGAAGACGATGATGACGAAGACGAAGAAGAAGAAGAGGTTACAGAGAAGACGGAACACATGGCGGGCAGGCGGGCGCCGGCGATCTTACCCAGTCCGAAGTCGGTGCTCGCCACGAGGACACTCAAGAAGAGACCGCTAGAGTGCTACGTTTGCGCTTACAAAAATGAAACCCCACTCAGAGCTTGTCTAGACCCGACTAAATATAGGTAAAAGTCTATAAGAAGCCCATAAACTATTTGAATATCGACCCTCCTTTTCGGACTTTTTATCGGTCTCGTTTTTGAAATGTGAGCCATTAAAATTGGCTGGTAATATGTTGTAAATATGGCTTCTTTGAAAAGTTTTTTTTTATCTTAAACACGATAACCGTCATTACCATTAGTGTGTTTTTGAAGCAGCTTTTTTACTTTCTAGATCAATACATAGAAGCTACATTGTATCCTTAATGAAAATGCTTAATAATCCACTTTGTCCCTGGCACTCTGAGATGGAACACGAAACTATGACCTTTGGCAATCCGGGTGACTGCACTAACCACTGAGTAATCCAGAAAAAAATTCTCTGACGATTTTTTTTCAGGCACTTTTTACTTTTTCGCTATTCCTCCCATCTTAGATTGCCAGGGGCAAGGTGGATTTGTAAGCATTTTTCGTTAAATATATTTTTCAGTGTACCATTGTTAATTGAAAATTGCTATTAATATTAAATATGTAATATGTAGGATGGAATCGAATCGAATTGGAAGAATGAGCGAATGGCGGATTAGTGGGACCAAAATTTTACAAGTACAATATTAATAGATAGAGATCAAGTAGTCGTCTAGTCAGCATATAAAACGGTCAATATAGATCGTAATTTGTGAAATTAGTTCTTCAGATTACTTTTTTTATATTTTGATATGTTTTTCGCTAAGTTGTTCCACTGGCTTCGTTTAAATTTCAGGGTACATACAATAACATGTCACAGTTCCGAGGACAAATGCTTTACTTCTGTGATATCAAAAGGTGCTTCATATGAAGCTGTCGTACGAGGATGCAGATCAGGATGCGTTGGATCACCAGAGACCACTTGTTGCGAGGTAAGAAAAGTCTGCTTTATGCCAAATAACATTATCCTCATACAAAGACTAAACGTGCCTTGCGAACGTCGCTTGACAAGTGCGCTAACCACTGCGTCGTAGAGCTCCTCAATAATTCTTTATAGTAAAGAATTATTGTCTGCTGTAGTTCCAACGTCAATTTCATAGATTATTTTTATTGTAGATGCATAGTTTGAGTTTTATTCATAAAATGGTATTATAATCATATTATATTTTTAAACAAATAGGTCTGCATACACTTGTATAACTGATTTGAAAACTTGAATCACATAAGAAAAATATACTACAAAATTTTGCAAAAATACATATGGCATTAAATTAGTTACATAAAACGTTACAATTTTCATTAAAACAGCCATAAACATAGACGTATAAATAATAATGATATTACAAAGAATGCCCAGACGCCAATACATTTTAGCACTGTGTAAAGTCACTCACCGTGAAGATCTAGGTAGGGTTTTCAGCCGACTAACAGCAGTTGCTGTTACTTCTACATTATTTCTCAGATATTAATGGATTTGTATTTAAAAAACTAGCGTATTGATTATGCAATCTTATTATCTATTAGATCTTTAATTGATTTAACTATTTTCTTTCTCCAGTTGAACCGTTGCAACAATCAAGCGTTTGCGATGCCGGTAGTGCCTTCGCCTCGAGCGCTCATGTCGTCAGACACCAGGAAGGTCGTGCAGCCCACTGTGTTGTTCTTCGTCACCATTCTTCTTCTCCTACAAACAGTGGTCAAAGTTGCAGTCGTATAACGATACTTAGAACCTTTACCACGCGCAATTACCAACAGTGATAATTTAAAACCAGAGATTCATAATTACCAATGTTTGTGAATTAGCGGCGTTATTTCGAAATATCGCTTGATTTTTTTTAAATTTAAGATCTTGAAATGTTATAGTTACAACATCCCATTGTCTTCTGATTTTCAAATTTGTAACAGCGACATTTTTTTCTCCCACTTCATTCTTAATAGATTTCTTATTGGAAATTATAATGTAATGGCGAAGGTTCTAGTTAAATTAGGGACATTACTTATTTTATTAACAAAGGCTGTAGTTTGTTAACGTGATTGGCTCAGTGATGTACTGTGGATTTTGTAAGCTTTTGGAAGTTTTATTGTTTGATAATAAACTAGTTTAAATCGTTCGATAATTGTTTCCTTGTATTATAGTAGAATGTATAGTAGTATTGTGCTTTTGACAATGTTAAAATAAGGCAAAGGCGTTATTAAATAAAACTGCTAATTCTTATGCAATTTTCGACAATAAACGGGTGTCTTATGACACCCAGCACACTTCTAGGGAAAGATTTTCAGTTTTGAAGTATTATCTGTGCTTTTGATGCAATCTCTTTGCGAATCTTAAAATAGTATTTTATTTTTGTAGCACATTAAAGGGTAAACTTTAATAACTATAAAAAAATATTTAGAAATAATTTTCTATAATGAAGAAATTTTAAGTATTCAATATTAAGACGGTTCATAAAATTAATAATACCAATAGATTGTGAACACAAATTTAAATAAACTAATTAACAATGAAAAGATTATAACATAGTCAATTAATAGATTAAGATAAGGTGCGATAGCGAGTGGTATTTACATAAAAAATCTTAATACGAGTAGTTTTGAGTAATTGAGACTTTTTGATTTCTCTATTTGATTTTTATGCGCACAGATTTTGTAGGAAAAGAGTATGTACTAACAAATTTTTTTGTAGATTCACTATTTAATAGACGGAGAGCTCGTTACAATGTTCAATAGCTTTCTAAAGCTTGATATTTCAGTATATGTGCTAAGGTCAGGTGCTGGAATACCTGGTGGCGGCGGCGAGAATTAAATTTTAGCCCATTAAATGAAAGTCTGAGTATCTTTTTATGAAATAACTACCTCGTTTTTTGATTTTGTAATCAGAACCCTTTTGCCTTGTAATTAAGAATAAGTTATGTATATGTATGCCTTTAGTATTTTACATACTGAAATATCGTGCTTCAGAAAGCTCTTGCACACTTTTGTCACGATATCTTAGACTATAAAGAATAATTTATTATTTGAATTCCGCTGTTATAAATCTGGTCAGATACGTTTTTTCTCCCCTTGAATAATTCATCCTTTGCGTCATATTCACCCTGAATAACGGATGCACTCAATTGGGCGGAAAGGCTTGACCGCGATCGAGTGACCCTTGCCCTAACAGGCCGAGGGTGCAGCTTTATCATTTTTGTGAATAGAATTCTTGAAATATCCTGTTGATTTTTTTTTTACTTAAAACTGCATATATCAATGTTCGTCATCGAGATTCATCAGTTTCATAGTCATGATAAATACATAAATATTACACAACATCAGATACATAGTTCAAAATGCAAATTAAGTAACTGATGAACTTGTATTATGGGAATCTGATACGAGTGTGATACTTCCGATTATTTTTTTACATAGACCAAATCGTGAATCAAATCGAGGACTCCGTGCCGTCCTTGAAACGAATCACTCGGCTTCATTAATTTATTTTCGCTATAAGGTAAAATTAGTTACAATAATCTTTTGAATTGCTTAATTTACCATTTGATATTATTTTATTCATACAATCAATTTGTTTGATATACTCAAGAATGTGTTAACAATATAACCCCGAGTATCCAACCCTCGACCGCATTCTTAAACCACGTGTGAAAATAACCCAAAGGAAATTCCAATAAAGCGGACGATTTTCACCCCTGACCCTTCGTAAGGGTGACCAGTGTTAAGAAGCTAGTTCGCTTGTTTTCGACATATGGAATAAATTGGAGCAGTTACGCATTGCAGAAGGGGAGTGGCGTATTGTTTATGTGTTACGGACTATTTTTGTTCGTATTTTATCTTGGGAAATGTATTAACGAAGTCGGGAAAATGCTCGATATCCGCTACCGGACGGCGGTGATTTTTATTTGGCGTGAGGGTTAGAGTGTTAACAGATTGTGGGAAATGTTTGGTCAGGCGTTGAAGGGTTTCATGTTAGCAAATGTTTGATTTGGTATACGAAAATTGTCCACCTTTTCGGAAGTAATGTTTTGTGTCAAGTTACGACATATTGGGGATAGGTTTGTGATATTTCACTAATATATTTTTCATAAGTAGTTCGGTGGCGTAATGGATAAGCGTGGCGGTCCGCAATCGTTGTTGTTAAGCAACACTCGTAAGGGTCGGTGACGGGATGGATGATCAAAAAATATTATTTCGAGCTACTCCGTTAAGCCGTTGGTCCCGGCTGCATTTGCAGTCGTTAATATCCTCCAATCCGCATTGTGCCAGCGTGGAGGATGGCGCCCACCCTACTTAACCATCCATAAGGAAGGCCTGAGCCCCTGCAGTAGGAACGTAACAGGGCCGATGATTTTTCATAAGTACTATAGTAGTTTATAACTAATTTAATAATAGTGATGTGTAAAGTTACATAGCCTTGTAAAGCCATAGTTCTATATCTTCATGGACATAATAATGGTTTTATTTTATTTATTTAGGTTGGTAAGGCTTAACAGTAAATTGATACAAAGTATAAAACAAATACTTTTTCTTTATTTATTTCATAATATCAGCCCCGTAATGTTTCTACCTAGTAATGGCGTGCAAAATTAATAGTTTACATAGGTAATTAAAATTATATATATTATTATGACAATTATTGCAATTCATTAATAAAAAAAATACATTACCGATTTTAATGCGGTTCACCTTAATATGAGGAACGATCACCTTTATATGTATAATACAGGACCACGAGGGCGAAGTCGCTGGCGGAAAGATAGTGTTTAATAAAATATATTTGATCAAAATTTTGAGCTGAAATATTATAATAATAGCTGTTATAATCGATAAAATAGTTGCTTTAGTCCATATCCGTTGAATCGTCCATTTTATTGTTTAGATATTACATTAGATTGTACCTTTTGTGATAATTGATGATTTCCATTCCATAAATCGGTGACTTGAGTTGACCAGTTCAATTTGTTATATATACTGTTCCCAACTTAGAAAAGGGCACAATATTCATATCTTTTACTCTTTCATCCCAGTTCCACTATATATTTTTAGTTCTTCTTTTCATTGTTCATTGGCCGGGTCGTCGCTAAGTACTTAATCGAGGTTTTTGACGTAAATGATGCGTCTTAGTTTCTCCGGACTAACTCCATCAAGGGTAACAAACTCATTCGAATACAATGCTAATATTGCATACTAGCTTTTCGCGAACAGCTATACCCGTGTGGTACCGTATTATATATATAAATTTGTCTCTTGTGTCAGTCTGTATATTAATTAAAATCCGTTTTGTAATTTAAAAGACCTCAGACAGTGGGAAGCGGCTTTGTTGTATACTATATATAAATTGAACTAGGATATGTCTGTCTGTATAAAACATATCAACAAATTATTTGCATCATCACATATCTCTTGCACAATAAGCACATGGTTGTATCCAGGAACTACTCTGGTACCATCCGCACCTGGTCACAGCAACAATGCACGGCAGTGATCGATCGGATCGAACCATTCGGCACGCTCCATCGGTCAACAGCGGACTTCGCGCAACACTATTATAGTGATGTTTTAATCTATACTTATGTATCGATATCGATGGTATAGTAGATAATTGAAAAGTGATGAAATCGTCTTGTTTATGATTTTATTGCCATTTTTTTATCTATATGCATATTATAGTCTATGTTTAATCATCAGTCAAGAAGAGAAGTTAATGGAAAACCAGCATCAGCATTTTGGAAAAAAATAATAATAATAAGAAAGTTCATTTTGCTATGTCAAAGTCATGTATTTTTTTTTAATTTGAAGTAATTATATCTGATCAATCATAAAGTTAATATATCGCAAAGAAAAATATTATTAAAGTAGAAAATTAGGTACATATTATAAAGTAGGATAATAAAAATATAAAAATAGAATAAAATTTTTGTTTACTCAATGAAAACTTTGTTAAAATTGTTCCATACCCGTAGTTTTAGAAATCCTTCTACTTTTAAACATGACAGTTTGGGATAGATTAGAGCTTTACCAACAATATTTACGGACTAACGGTCGGTTTCTGAATCGAGAAAAGTACATAATCTTAACTGATTATTCTCAATAACTTAAGTTTTTTGCTTTTTGCTTTACTTTCCTTATTTTTATCAAACTGCTATCGACTGATCATTAAATAAATTAAAATCAGAACAGAAACGAAACAGTTTGACAACAGTGTGAGATTTTCTAAAATTAAAATACTGAATTCAGAAACCGGGTTTTACAGAGCTTTTATTCTTTAAGATAATCTTATGATTTCCTAAATAAATATCTGACTTATGATTTATAAACTTATGATTTCTATGTTATAAATATATATTCCATATAAAAGGTAGTTATAATTATTTGGATTTATATAAATTCGTCAACAGCATAGGTAATTTTATAAAAAAGTATCGACATTACTATCAGAGATGCTCGTCACTATTTAGAACTGGCAAGTATAGCTGGTATTATTGACCGTATGATCGATGATCTACGGGTATTTGGATCAATAAAATTATGCAAAATCATCGCAACTATTGTCAATGTTACGCATATTGACCGTTTTACTTATATTTTCGTTTATTATCCAGTTTTGCGATATTAATACAATAGTATGGGGAGCTATGGGAATTCTAAGATTGCTTAGTCATTGTATTAACGGTTGGTGTTGGTCTAGCAATATTTGTATTTGGTGATAAAATAACATTATCAGAT